CTCTGGTCAGTTATCCCCGCCACTGTGTCAGAAAGAGCCGTTAAGTTCTGACTGGACTCTGACCTGCGTCCGATCAGTATCCGGTCAGTACTGATCGGACGCGTCCTGTAACACCCCGGGTGTTATAAATACTAAGACTGCCATATCATCATATGCATTGCAAGGCGTTGGTCATATTGCAAACTTTGATATGCATTCACTAAAACAAGTTTACATTTATGTTATAAGTGTTGATTGGTATTGTTTGATTCAAGTTTGAAATCTTTGTATTGATTTAAAATTCCGAAAACCCTGATTTTCAATATTTAAATCCTACCCTGAAAACCCATTTAAAAATCGAAGCACATTTTGGCGTTGAGTCTAAAAGCAAATTTGTAGAGCTTGTCGTGTACAAAGTTTGTTTTTGGAGTTTTTCAAGTTGTTTAGTAAAATTTGAAGTTATTTAAAAAGGCAAAATTCCTTAAATATCCCCGTTTTGAATTTAAAAGTTCATTTCAAAATGTAGGCCGAATTTGGGTATGGTTTCAAAAGCATAGTTGCAGAGCTTTTGATTTTGAACAACTTTTGTTTTTGGAGATTTTTGAGTTGTTATGAAAATTTGGGAGTAATTTGTAAAATTTGGCGAATGGCATTTCTGTAATTTTGATGAACAGTGTTCACCGCTGAAGCTACACCGCCGGCGAGCTTCGGTTTGCTTCCAGTCGCGCGCGTGGTCGTCTGGGCGTCGCGTTGGCACGGTGAAGGCTTCCGCGTGGCTTCTTTGCGCTTCCTTGGTCGCGTTATAAGCCAGCCACCGTCGCCGTTCTTCGCTTTCTCTTCTCCTCTGTTTTTTCAGTCGCCGCCGCCGCTGCTCCGTTGAGCCCTCGTCGTCGAACCAGCGCCTGCGCCGTCGCGGCATAGCGCTAGATAGCTTCGCCTACTCCTTGCGCACCTAGCCAGCTAGCTCTGGTCGATTGATTTCACCGTGAGTTCGCCGTTCGTCGCTTTCTTCCTCGCGGCCGGCAACCTCACCCAAGATTCCATTTCACCGCGGCCAGCCTACTCCGGTGAGCCGTTGGCCTTGATCGGTGTACCTACGGCTTCGTCTCGATGCTGTGGTTCTTAATCCTGTGTTGCTTGCTCGTTTTGATCACTACAGTCGTCAGTTCTTCCTCACCGACGATCTTTGCTCCGCCATGATCACCGTGGTCATCGTCACGCCTCTCCGTTGCTTCTCCGACCTCGCTCCTTGTTTCCACGCGTTCGGGGTGAGCTACTGGTGCTTCCTGGATCCTTTGTTTAAGCTCTACTGGTTTCACGTCGCCGCCGTAGCGCTGCCATGCCACCGCGTCCGCCATGGCCGCCGTCGAGCTAGTATAGGGCCGTAATCAGTACTGATAGGGACGTCAATCGATGCGCCTAGTCTTGGTGATCGTTTTGGTACTTTGGCTGTCGTTGTTGGACTCACCGTCGACGAGTTTGCGTCGGTCAGCGCCGTCGCCGTCGTGGTCAACGCGCGGAGGTCGGGGATGACAGGTGGGGTCACCTTGTCAGTGAGCGGGTGATTTGAAAAATGATTTTTTCTATTTTCTGGAATAAATGAATAGTGTTTGTTTTTGTTATTTTTGTGTAGATTTATTTAGAGCTCCAAAAATTATGAAAATTTTTGTGTGAACTCTCTGTGATGTGTACTATTTAGGAAAAATATGAAATGTTGTTTTTCAGTACTTTTTGAATGTGATAAAAATTTCTCAATTAATTAATAAATGAATTTCCATGATTTTTCTAGGCTTATTTATGTATCTAAAAATTATAAAAATTGTTTTGTCACTTAGTTATCATGTGATGAATATTTTCAAAAATTTTGAGATCAATTGAAGCAAGTTGATTTATTTCATAATTCTTAATTAATTAATTAATTCATAAAAGCAAATAGTAACCTTTAGTGATTTAGGTTTTGTTTGAGTTTTTGATTAAGTGATGTCCTTGGGTCATTAGTTGGTGATGATCCTTGGCAATTGTTGTGAGTGTTGCGAAAATGGTTTAGTTAGTTTAACTTGTAACTGTACCGCGAAGGAAAGTTGTATTTAAGTTGTTAATTTTGCATCCATCATCGATCATCATATTTCGTATTCCGCATCATGTTAAACATGGCATTGTTATTACGTGTAGTGAACGAAGCTGAAAACGTGGTAGTTAATCAAGTAGTTGAGGAGGTTGATCCGTCTGTGGAGGTTGGTGTTGATATCAGTGGAACGACTCCGGACCCGGACTTGTCCGTCAACGAAGGCAAGCCCCGGATGCATACAACCCTACCTTGTGTTTTACAAATTGATTTCGCTTTTGCTTTTCTTTACTGCATTAAGTAATTAGAAGTCAAGTGAAAACCTAATTGATGCATTACCAACCTTGTTTTGCTATATCTACCTTGTTACCAGTTTTACTTCGTATATGCCTAGTTATGCTTAGCTCTGCTTAAAACGATGAAAGTCGGGTGATTATCTGTCATCTACAAGTTTTAAATGGAACTTTGGTTACTTATGTTATCATGTGATATGGGAATGTGGAGTAATAAATCTAGACCGGGCGGACTCGGTGTATGTGAGCTAGAAGACATGGAGGTCTTGTGAGCGGGTTCTTTCCGCCTGTGTCGGTTAAGGCCCGTACCGTTGTTGAATTGCATGAGGTGAGACTTTGTAGTACTAACCACATATTTCGGTAAGCCTTAACTTGGCTATTCTATTACGAGAATGGCTACTCGCGCACTGGGAGTGGAGAGATGGCGGGAATAACGTGTACCCACGTGGCAATGGGCTGGAGTGTGGAGTACTGTATTCTCGGGTGGCGCGGACCCGTTCTTGTTTTAGAGGATCCGAGGGTAGGTTGATATATGTAAGTCGGGGACCTACATATGTCGTGTGTTCTGGAATTCCCAGCTGGGTTATAATCGGTTCGAATCGTCGTTGCTCCTCGGTTATGGAGACTCAACTCACTGTTCATCATCGTAGTAATTAATAACTGGAACTTGAGGATGGTTTGATTAAGTATTGGATACGAAGTTTCATGATCTCATTGCGGATCGTGTCAGCTTTGTATATGATCTTATGAAGTTTTAAATGTTGATATAAAGAATTTTGTTAAAGAGCTTTTACGCAAAAGAACTTTGATTATTGCTAAAGCCATACCTTGAATCCCATGAGCCTGCATTCCTGAATTCTATCAGTTTTATTTCGGTTAAGTCTTGTTGAGTACTTTTGTACTCAGGGTTCGTTGACCCTTGTTGCAGGTGATGTTCATGAGCAGATCTGTTTTGGATCGTGCTGCATGACTGTTGTTCAGTGCGATGACGATAAGTAAATGTGTGGCCCTTGGGCAGGGCAGCTTTAATTGTGTGTTTTGTAATATATTATAATGCCACTCAACTACTTTGGTTTGTAATAACTATCAAACTTAGTTGTTTGGTTTAAAACAAATGGTTTGTAAATTATGTTATTGTAAGTCTTCCGCTACTTTTACTCTGAGGTATCTATTTGAATACACTGTTGTAATACTGCAATGACTCTGTAATGTGATCCTGCTCGGAAATCGTGGATGATTCGGGGTTCCCCGAGGACACCCGATAGTCTTCTTAAGTTATCGGTAGCATATGCATAGATGTCAAAGGTCGTTGGACAGTGACAGGTGCATGTGGGCCCTATAATTTAGGAGGTTCTGCCACACGTCCGGTCACGAAATTCCCTCTCTGGAATCTCTCTGGAGTTGACCGGACGCAGGAACCCAGCGTCGGGTCACTTTTCACTTAGCGTCCGATCAGTACCAGACGACTTTAGTTGATCAAATGAACTGACCGGACTCTCCCTCCAGCGTCGGGTCAATATTTGACCCTCTATTCACTTCCAACTCAAAATCCTATGTGAATGAAGTTTGCTCCAATTGATATTAGGGCTATCCCTGAGCTATCTAGTGCTAGATTTGACAAGTGTGCACCACAGCTAACCCACTAGACTCACCTATGTCAAGTTACTAGTCCATATCCCCCTTAATAGTACGATCAAAGAAAAAACAAAGTCCTAAACTACTCTAAGTGTCACTCCAACGCCAAACGACACTTAGAACTAGTCCGTCCTTAACCTTGTCGACCATCCTTTGAAAACCAAAACGATTTCCATTGTTAGGGGCATGACCACCATGATTACCCAATCAATTGCCATTACCATGACCTAACTTAAATTGCCTCTGCAAAACACACGTTAGTCATAGTAATCTTGTGTTATCATTAATCACCGAAATCCAATTAGGGGCCTAGATGCTTTCAGAGCTGAAGAAGATGATCGGCATGGAGGGGGTTCTAGGGTTAGCAGCAGGATTAGAGAAAGAATTATTATGTAATCTGCTGCTCCCCTTGTGTGAACGCGGAAGGGATAGGCGGCGCCGAAAAGGCTCCCTGCTGCTGCACTGTAGCCACTGCAGCCTGTAGGGGCAGGTGCCGAACGGCTCACCTGCCGCACTGTAGCCGCAGCAGGGGCATGCGCTAAAGTCAGCCCTGCTGTCACATCTAGTCACTGTAGCAACATGGCAGCTGTACTATGACTAGATGGGTAGAGTTGTATATATAGTTTATAGTTTGCCACTGCAACTCAGTAAAGAGAGCGAGTTCAGTTTTGCCATCTCCTCAACAGAGCTCCGGCCAACGCTGGTGCTCGTGCTGTGCATGCTCTGTTCTCCCTCCCTTCTTCTACCTTTAGCCAGTGTGTGGTCGGACAATGATAGTCGTGGTCGGCGAAGCTGGTGAATGGTCGACTCACCCGTGCCGGTGATCCTGTGGGCCAACATAAGATGGCAATTCGAAGGACATGGATGCAATATGACACTGTGCGCCAAGGAGCGGTAGCAGTCCGATTTTTTGTTGGCCTGGTCAAACACTAAGAGCATTAAGTAATACGGTATATAGTAAACTAACAAGAGTTATCTTTCAGACTAATTGTTTTGTTTTGTTTTGTTTTATAAAGCATACGAACCTCATGGTAAATGAGGAACTCTGGAATGAGGCGCACACGTATGGTGACATCCAGGTGTTGCCTTTTGTTGATTACTACAGCCTGATAACATGGAAGACACTCGCAATATGCATTTATGGGGTAAAACACTACCATCACTAAGCTATACTTCTCCAGTCTCCACTTCTTATGTTTCTCTGTGCTTAACTGCGATTTGTTTGACCAGACCAGTGCACTATCAGCCAAGTATCTGATGAAAACAGATGATGATGCTTTTGTCCGTGTAGATGAGATCCAATCCACAGTAAAACAGCTTAATGTCAGCCATGGGCTACTTTATGGTCGCATAAATTCTGATTCCGGTCCCCACAGAAATCCTGAAAGCAAATGGTACATAAGCGAAGAGGTAAGTTCTTCACATAAAAGGGTTTACCACAATCAAAATCTAAAACTTCAGACTCCTGCCATAAATGGTAAAAGAAAAAAAAACAATTATTGCAATGCTTTTTTATCTGAATTTCAGATGAATCTAGTAGCCAAAGGACATCTATGCAGGTTAATTTACAACATATTGCTATCATAACAGAAACTCAAGGAGTCACATACACGTTATTTATAATATCATCATCAATAAATGTAAATGCCAACATTTCTGATATGTTCTCCAGGAATGGCCTGAAGAGAAATACCCACCATGGGCTCATGGACCAGGATATGTAGTTTCACAAGACATTGCAAGGGCAATCAACAATTGGTATAGAGCAAGTCGTTTAAAGGTATGTATATTCAAGTGGAAACATAATCTGTGACTTGTACATACAAAATGGAAAATCACCTTCTAAGATCCCTCAAGCTACAGAACAAGGTATCTGAAGGCATGCTTGTTTGCACAGAAAAAATGAACTGCTCTATGCCCTAGCAAACAAAAGCTATACCTCATGTGAAAGACCCAAGCTATAAGCCCGTAAACAAGTAACTCAAAGTAATCCTGTCCAGAAAGAAAATATAAGCTATGATATCCATGCAAATTGCAAAGCCATAGACAAGCCTAGTTATGTGCACAAACTGTCCACATTTTCACTTTTCTGTTTCCCTAAATGTTCTGAATGAATATCACAGCATGTGTCCTGCGTCCAACTTGTATTCTTGCAAACTCATATAAGGTGACTTCAGTTCTATTAATAGTTAGCTTGTCATCTGATGTGTTTTACTCCTGCTTCCAGAAGATGGTAATCAGACTAGAAGAGCTAAATTAAATGCTATTTGCACCCAAATGTTTTTTTGCAGATGTTCAAACTAGAGGATGTAGCAATGGGCATATGGGTAAATGATGTGAAGAAAGATGGATTACCAGTCAAATACGAAACAGACAAGAGAATTAACATTGACGGCTGCAATGATGGGTACGTTGTTGCTCACTACCAAGAACCAAGACATCTGCTATGCATGTGGGAGAAGCTCCTAACGACACAACAAGCAGAATGCTGCAGTACCAAGTATTGGAGAAGGAACTTAAATGCTTAGATCTTGGCCCAGTTTATGTATCAGGCCACTCGCTAACTTTGCGATAACAACAAAAAAGCCTTTAACATCATTTTTTTTTTTCTGGTGCGCAGCACTAATGTAACTAAACTCAATGAATTACACAGATATAGTTAGTTCACCTCATCCCAGCTTATCTATATTTCCAGAGAATGTTTTTTAGGAGGTACTAAAAGTCAGGAGAAATTTAATATTTTGTTCCCTCTAACATTATGGGGATATAAGCACTCCAGGTGTATAAACTACTTGCAGTCTGAGGGCACATTTTAGCAAACTACAATGATAATCTTTAGCATAGAAGTCGTCTGAAGCTAAACATGAACCATAACAACTGAGAACCTTTGGTCCTTAGCCACAAGGGAACATGGATTATAGCTATAATCAAGTATTCCAGATTTAAAATTTGCCAACTGCATGATGCCAAAATAAAACCATGCAGCAATTGCAGTACAAGATATGGTGAAAAAAAATGTCATAATAAAAAGTAGCGTGCACTGTTTTTGCATTGATCCTTACTCGAGACAGCTTTGCAGTGTTCTTGCTTTTCTCCTCTTGTGCACTCCACCCTTAAACCTTTGGGGCTTGGAAATAGGACTGGTAACTTAAGCTTCTTTTGTTCTTCCTAAATAGAAAGGCAGAGATCCTGCTATCCAAAAAGAAGCATGAAAAAACAAGTTGTTCGTATTCATTCTTAAATTCATGCCCATAAGGAAAATTTCAAAGAAAGAAAAGAAGAAGCAAAATGCTATTGCTAAACTCCTCTGGCTGATTACCACGCACCTATGGTTAGGGAGATCCACAGCTGCTCATCATTGTCCTTTGTTCTCCAACAACTAAGCCTCAGGCCCATTCTTACTCCACGATGTAGGAAACATAACTTGGAGTTCGATGGGACCTTTAGCTGTACATCAACTTTAACCTACCATCGCTGCTTATATGATAAGTGAGTATGAGTATTCATTCAGAGATTCAATCAGGCTTCTCCAGGTGAACTCCATGTATCTCAGCACTACAAGTCTGAGCTTTGAAATGGCATGTGTTGCCGGTTCCATTTGGTGACGTGATAGGATAATCTTGCTTGACTGAACCCAAACTCAAAGGACTGCCATTTCATAATCAATGCAGTAAAAAAGCATAGGGTGCATCTGAATGCCAGCTCACAGCCTTGCCACATTGACAAGCCGCTCCCTGAAATCATCATCGTTGGTTGTTAGCATGTCTTTGAGTGGCATCTCGATGCCCCTTTCCCTCAATGCCTCGTGCCTCGGTTTGATCCTCCCCTCCAAACTGAATGCAAAGTAGTGCGGGAACTCGGATAGCTCAGCGGCAGGGTCCCTCCGCATGCGCTCGGCGAGGAACTGGAGCTTAGGTCTGAGGTTGGTCTCGATCCCGTAGGAGAGGATGGCGGGCGCGCGCCTGAGAACCGCGCAGACGGCAGAGTCGGGGAGCCCCGTGGCGTCACGGAGGAATAGGAGCTTGGGGAGGAGGGTGCGCTTAACAGAGAACGCCAGGGGCAGCGCGGCGGCGAGAGGGAGCGGCTCCCGGCGGAGCATTACGCGACGGCGGAGGAAGAGCAGCGCCGGGCGGAGCGTGTCGGGAACGGATGCGGCAAGGAGGCGTGGGGACCGGACCACCGCGGAGAGGAAGCGGTGGGGCTCCTCGGGCGGGGAGGTGAGGAGGGAGGGGAAGGCGGAGAAGACGCGCGCGGCGTCGCTGGCTGTGAGGCCGTGGGAGGTGAGCAGGCGGAGGGAGTCGCGGAGGCGCGGCAGCGGCGCTGAGCGGAGCACGGGGTTTATGTCGAGGAGCGGGAACGGGTCGAGGTGGAGCTCAGAAGAGAGGAAATGGATCTTACGGCGAAACTCCACGCCGGCGCCACCGGCGCCGGTGGCGATGGGTGGAAGAGGGGCAATTGGTGTGAGGCCTGCGCGGCCGATCATAGCCATGGCGGATATGGCTTGGGGCTTTGGGGGGAGGGAGGCCGACGGCACTACGGCAGCGGTGTGTGACCGTTATCCATTGTGTCTGCCGCGTTGTTCGGTTTAGGTTGATTTTTTGTTTGTTTGCCAAGCATCGTTCTAGTTTGATTTTGACCATCAAACTCGAAAATCAGAAATCATTAGTCATTATACTATTATAAAACCATTCAAATGTGGCTACTGAGTTACTTCAATTGGTGATTTTGCCAATATCAATGACAATCCTATTCGTCAGAACTCTCTCTCCTCCCCAACACCATCTCTCTTCACGCGAGCGTCGTGGCTGCCCTCTTCCTAGCAACGCATTCTCCTCCTCCCTTGCTGACGGAGCCACCTTCCGACAACCTTAGATCACTATTCGGCCTTTTCGGTGAAGCGGAAAGAAATTTATTCTTTGTACTAAAAAGAAACATTTTAAATATTTTTGTACAATGAGCATGCCTAGGCTCTAAAAGAGTTTCTAGCTCCACCACTATCCTCCCTCCTCTTCAGTAGCACAGTTGCCTCCTACTCATCTCTGATACCGCCTCATCCTTTGCAGCTATGCCCACCTCCCTCCTCACCCATACGGCCATATACCTTCTCATACTTCTCCCTCGACCCCTGGCTGGGATGAACTCGCTCGCCTCACCAGGGATTTTCCCCCTGAGGGAACCAAGCGGGTGTGTGAATAGTGTGTGCGCGTGTAGACGCATCCCGAGATTTCTTGGGCAGTCTCATCTGTACTTGAGTGTGCGGTAAGTATAGATTTTCAATACGAGTCTTATATGATATGCCAGTGCTCCTAGTGGTGTTAAAAAAACTCCTCTCTCCTCTAGTGTCACCGCTACACCACAGAGAAGAGATGTCCTGTCCCTTTTCCACACCAAGCTTGCTAATGCTTCCTTCTCCCCTTCAGTAACTGATCCTCTCTCCCTCTTTCTTCCCCCCTCTCGCTCTCTAGCTCGTGCGCCCCTCCTCCACACCACGTTGCCTCCTCACGCCACCACAGCTTCTTTCCTCCTCTCCTTCCGCAACCGTTCCCTCTCGTCTACCTCCAACACACACCACCACCCTCTTTAATCTTTTATGAAATATTTTCTGTTTAAGTTAATTATTATTTCTATATATTTATAGCATTTGTTATTTCTCTTTTTTCTTCTTCTTCATTTTCTCTAAATAGTTATTTTATTTTTAATTTTCATGTTTTGCTTTTTTATTTCCTATATTCCATGGTATATACGTGATGTTTACCGAGTATAAATGTGATGTTCAATGATCTATTTTAGAAATGTTCACATACTATAAACGAGATATTTCATAATTACTTTTAAGTACTCATGTAGTACTCGTGAGATGTTATTGTGGTATATATTAGTTTGTTCAAATAGTATTTATGTGATATATTTTATTTTCTTCTATTATGTCGGTTTTTTCCTTTTTATTAGTTTTCCCTTATGTTCTGCTCAAGTTTTTATTAATTTATTTTCTATTTAAATAAATAAATAATTTGTATCTACATATTCATTGCCTTTGATACTTTCTTATTTCCCTTTCTCCTTCTTTACTTTACTCTAACTAATTATTTGATTTCTTTTTATTTTCAATGTTTTTGTTTTTTCTATATTCTATGGTATATGGTATGCACGTGATATTTACATAGTATACATATAGTGCTCTGTGATGTATTTTAAGATGTTCACGTAGTATGTATGCCAACAAACGTGAACATACTTGACGAGTCCATATGAGTCCAAATTGTGCTAAGAATTGCCGCATAGGGCTGATCGATGTTTACAGCAAGACATCCCGGCCGAGGTACCTAGTTCTATCCGGTTCAGAAGAACGCAGATTTGCATTCCCGAGATTAACTCAGGAGATCAGCCGTGACGTGATTGATTAGCCAAGTTCAAGAAGGAAAACAATTTCGGTTGGGTTGGGGCCTTGGGAGTGCTGGACCAACATTGAACGTGATTGAAAAAAACCGACCATGCTCAAAATCTCTTTCACAGAGTCCATGTTAAAACCAATGACTCTCATTTTTTGAAGGGTCTGATTTGAAAGTAAAAGATCAGGTTTTGGCTTGTGGATCCTTCAAAATTAATGATGGATCACAACCAAGATTTTAGGAAGACACATGGTAGGCAATCGCCCATTCAAAGACCTTTATCCAACACTATATAATATTACAAATCGTACACATGATACAGTGGCCAATATTATGAGATCAACACCACTGAATATTTCTTTTCAGAGAGCTCTGGTGGGGTAAACATGATGAATGGGAAGAGCTAGTAGCCAAAATCACTCATATCAATTTAACTGATGAGAGTGATTTGTTGATTTAGAACTTACATAACAATGGTCAGGCCGACCTCGGACAGCCTGTAGTCGCCACGCGCTCGTCGACGCACAAAAATGAACCAAGGCATTTTCTGACAAAGCTTCACGATTTGCCGATTTGGCCACCATCAAGCGCGGTTGAACGCTGAGAAGAACATTTGTTACCATGAGAAATATAATGTCTACTGATCCGTCGGACGCTACCATGGCCGCGCCCATGTGAGGGCCTGCGTCGCCCAAATGTTGCCCACGCCGCCCGACCGCCCGACAGGACCGTTCGTGCCCTCTCCGCTTCCCACGCGCATGCATGTGGAACCATCAGCTCGGCAGCACCCCAGTAGCTGCGACAGATAGGTCCTATTGCAACATGTGCAACACCAGATCTATTTTTTGCAATATCCAGATGAAACACTTGAAATATACGTCTAAAGCAGCTGAAACACTTGCATCATACGTTTGAAACACTTGCAAACACCAGGAAAACTTGAAATACGTGTGTAGCCATTGCAAACATTTGTAACATCCAAATAAAACACATGCAATATATGTATGAAACACCTGAAACACTCAAAACATAGGCTTGCAACATGCATGTATATGCAACATCCAGATTTACTTTTGTAACATCCAAATGAAACAATTCCAATATATGTTTGAAACATATGAAATATTTCGAACATACACTTAAAACATACGTGTATAGCCATTGCAACATGTGCAACATCCCGATCAACTTTGCAACATCGACATGAAACACCTGAAACACTTGAAACATATGTTTGCAACATGCACTTTCAGCGATCTCCTTGCTACTTCGGCGAATGGAGGCTTGTCGGCGCGTGAAGATCACCGGTGTAGAGCTCGCCGGCAGCGCGGAGCTGAGCGGCGTTGCACAGAAGGTAGGGTGGGGCGGCACGGGCGGCGGTGGTGCAGAGGGCGGGTGGGCGCGGCAACGGTGGCATAGAGGGTGGGTGTGGGCGGAGCGGCAACGTAGAGGGCGGGTGCGGACAACAGCGGTGGCGCAGAGGGTGGGGTGGGCGTGGGGCGGGGCGGCAGCGACAACGCAAAATGTGGATAGAGGTTGTAGCGGCGGCACGCAAAAGAGCAGAGTACGCACATTCTCGGAACGGGGTGTCCATCCGTCCAAACGCCCGCATCTGAGCATTACGGATGACCGAATGGCTCTTGACTAGTGGACACTGCAATTAGGAACACATCGAAAGAAAACCGTCCAATCCATTCATATTGCAGGCAAAGAGTTGCGCGTGAGATTACATATCTCCAGACTGATCAGACCGATTTGTAAACTGTGACCCTATTTTGACGTGAATATATATATGGAAAAAAATTTCTACTCTCTAGAAGTAGTTACTCCCTCCTCCTAACCATGTAAATCAAGCAGGAGTCGGGGCTGGTTAACGGGCGGAGAAACACGGACCCGTTTGGACCGGTGGCGATGGCTATACAGCAGCCATATTAACCTGGACGTATATACGCGAATTAAAAAAAGGCCTGTGTCTAGATAATTACCGGAAAAAACGGATGTGGGCTATGGTGGGATGAGTAACTACTATATATGCATACTCTCTTCTCACAAAAGAATGCACATATATTTTCTCTCTCAAAATAAGTATGAATACATACTCTCGTTGTTTTGTATATCTCCATGTGTGAATGTATGCACATACTCCGATCGTTTGTGGTTTAGTATGCACTTGTACTATCTAAATCTTTGCGTATGTTTGCAAGTATGTATAAATACTCTAATCCAAAAAGTATGTACACATACTCCATTCTTCTAAAAAAGTATGTACAGATACTCCATTCCAAAAAGTATATATAAATACTATATCCTAAAAATTATGTACAAATACTCCATTTTAAAAAGTACTATGTATAAATACTATATTTTAAAGGGAGTACACGTACTCCAATCTATTGTACCGATATTTTCGGGTGACAATCAAATGTGCCATGGAGCCGTCTTCCCTATTGGATTTCTGATGTAGCCGTTAGGAGGAGAGAGTAGTTACTCCCGGGTGTACAGAAAACTAACCCCCCCTCTCTCTCTCTCTATATATATATATATATATATATATATATATATTATACAGTACACATCCGGACACTACGCGTGCGTGAGGGAAGTCTCAAGCCATCAGCTACTTGCTTGGCTTCCACCTTGCCCCGGGTAGTCGGGCGAGACGGTTCTGCCGGCGGAGCATTGTGCAGCGGCAGCGGAAGGCCACGAGCTCGCCTGCGCTGCGCGTTCCCGGAGGAAACAGTAGGCGACGTAGAGCGCCCCGCAGACGGCAGCGGCGTGCGGGAACGGGGCGATCAGGTGGAGGAGCAGGGCAGCCACGAGGAAGACGGGCCAGAAGACGATCCCATAGGTGGCTACGCTGACGCGATCGCTCAGCTGGTAGGTGCCATCGTCGCCGTAGAAGAAGAGCACGTCGTGCCTCTCTAGGTCGAGGAGCCGGCTGCGAGGCGCCATGATTTGATAGCTTCGGGAGATTGCTTGCCGGCCTCGAGGTCGATGAACTATGCTAGCTACTGCTGTTGGCACTTGCACTTGCAGTGGACTGGAGATGTCTGCATTTTAATAGGAGGACGCACGACAGCACGCAATGATAATATAATCAGACCACGTGCTCAACCTGTTCCAAGCACGAGGCTAGCGACTAGCCATTGCGAGCCCATCCATTGATGTCTTCTTCACGCGTGGAAGTGGGAACAAATTGCATCGCCGCAAAAGATCAAAACGTGGAAGAAATTACATTTCACGTGGAAAAAAAGATAGTGTAAAGTATTGTCATCAGATTCCGACGATCTCAAGGACTAGACATTCGTACTTTTTTGGGAAAAGGAAAAGTTGCGCCACATGCACAATAGACACATTAATTTATACGGAAAATCTCCTGAAGATGTGAGAGTAAAAATCATAAGACCATCATCCTGTCTACTCCAAGCTTTCACTATAATCTGCGTACAAGGAATTTCTGTAGAGCATCTAAAGAATTACACCACAAACAACGCAAGTTACAAACTTGGAGTCAACTACAACAACAACCTTTTAACAAGAGGAATAACAACAACCGAACAGAGAAGTCACAGATTTTGTACCCCTTGCTAATCAGTTCATATCTCACAACTACAACTTCATTGTGCACGAAATTTGGTAGGTATGTAGATTCATGAGTCCCGTAACCACTGACTAAATTTCAACTCAATCGGACATCTATCGTTTCGGCACCCAAATCAATCATCTACCAAAACTGCTCTATTCCAAAACTGCAATGACCTAAACTGACAAAAACCCTATCAAATCTGGTGCTCTACTAACCAATCCTCAAACCAACTTAACATATCAAAGTACTCTAAGTGAGGAACAAGCTCACTAAGTTTGGTGCCAATCCAACCACGTTTAAGCCCCAATCACCGACTCTAAGATGACAGGTTCGGAGCCACCAAATATAGACATATTTCCTTTTATCCTTCTTCTTCCTCTCTTCTCATGTTGTGGTGTGTATGTTCTGCTGTCACCTCCGGCTCTCTCAACACAGCAGCAGCTGAAGCAAAGGGAGGCTAGGATTTTTGCTTTATCTTTCCTAAGAAGCGACCGTTGATTTAGACACCAAATGAACGGTGCACAGACATTGGGCTTGTGGGCTGTTTTGCTGGGTTCAAATGCATCGTTCATGAAGGGATAGCCCAACACTTATACAGTTTTTAGCTCTTCGGGTGGTCACAAAATAAGGGAAAAAGGAAAAGAGAACATAAATGAGAGGAGGGGACATCAAAACTAATGTTTATAATTACTCATTGTCACAAAATAATTGGTACAATTGCATAACTGCCCTTGTTTTGAGCTCTAACTGCACGTTTGCCCCTATTTTTTAAACTTTGCATGTTTGCTCTTGTTTTTCGAAACCTACGCTACCGTCTGCCCCTGCTTCTGAACTCCGTGAGTTGCTGATAAATCAGGACCAAGAAAAAAATGTTTGGGAAAAAGAAAAAAGGAAAAAAGACCCTTATCCAAAACACACAGAGTCGTCCCCCTTCTCCCGTTCACCCGACCCTCTTCGAATTTGGACACGACCAACGCACGCACGGTCGTGCGCCTACACGCCCGCACGCACAGCACTTCTTGGCAAAAAAAGCACAACAACTTCTTCCTCCTCGACTCTGGTGCCCTCACCCCCGTTGCTGCCCACCGCCCTACCGTGGTGAGCTAGGTTTCGCAGGAGCTCCACGGCCGTGGAGCTTCGGCGAAACCTTAGCTCGTCCGCGGCGCCACCTTCTTCCCCTTCCCCCGCCCCCACCGCTGCTACCACTACCGCCTTTGCCATGGCGTCTTCGCCCTGACTTGGCCCGGCCGCCTCCACCACCGCCAGGGCCCCTAAACCAGCCGCTGGCATCCCCACCACCTGGCCGGCCTTCCTCCCCAAACCCCCTTTCCTTCTAAGGCTGCCGAAATTTGGGAAGAAGGGAGGGGCTCGCTGGAACCCTAACACAGGAGGAGGAGGAGGAGGATGAGGCCTACCTCGGTGGGTGCGCCATGGCCGGTGAGCTCATCGTGGGTAGGGACATGGGCGCGAGTGTGGGGAGGCGGTGGGGCGCGGGCGCGAGGAGGACGTCGCCGGGGACACTACTACACGAATTTTAACCGAGGCGGGCATTTTAGCTTAACCGAGGCGGGCAAGCCAACTGCCTCGACACAAAGGTCACGGTTCCAACCGCCTCGGTTAATAGATTAACCGTGGCGAGAATCATATGCTAACCACCTCGGTTAATACATATTAACCGAGGCGGTTGTCGTAATGCGCCAGCCTCGCTTAAGATTTTAACCGAGGCGGTTGAATAAAGGCGCCCGCCTTGGTTAAGATTTTAACCGAGATGGTTTTTATTACTTGGCCGCCTCGGTTAATGATTTCTAGATTAAAAAATGCTTTTTTAAATTTGAATTTAAAATTTCACTGGTGAAAACACAAATAAAGCAGAAAATAGATGACAAACATATATTACATTCATTCTCGTTCGACGAACTAACATTAAGTTGTTACATTAATGATGTCTTCATCATTGTTTCACAAACACAAATCATTCGTACATCAGCAACTAAGGTCATTCATACATATCATTTTTTATCGGAAAAGAGGTCCGGCAGAATGTAATCCGAGATTTGTAACTTGGTGCTCCAGTTTCTGATCCTATCGAACTTCGGATCCAGAGCTAACTCGCTTTCCCGGTTGAAGAACGTATTCCCTTCATGCGCGCTCTTTGTGACAACTTACATATGTCTGCTACTATTTGTCTGAAGTCTTGGTCGACCTTCTCCCTTTGCCACCATCCTTGTGCTTTCTTGAGCTGCTGCCAGCTGCTGCTGAATCTGCTGCACGTCCTCAGGTATCCACAAACGTAGAATCCACATAGGACTAAGCCATAGGGTTGTTTAGAGCACTACACGATGTATAATACACAATCATTAGAGCATATATAATAAACAATCAGTAGGAGTAGTAAAACTAGTAGTAGTGAGTAGAGTAGAGTAGTAGTACTGGTAGAAGGAGTAGTAGTAGTAGGAGTACTAGAGTAGAATAGAGCAGTAGTAGTAGTATTGGTACATACCGGGAACTCACGCCTAAGTTTCAGTTTTGTGCCATTCTTGATTTTCTTCTTCTTAGATCTCCGATCATAGCAGTCGGGATCTTTCACGTACTTCTTATAAGCGCTATATGAAAAACCACTAGTGTCAACGACATTTTCAATAAGTATGTTAACTGTAAATGAATAAGTTCCGTCACTTACTATCTCAAACAGCTTTCAAATTGCTTGTACCCTGCTTTGTTTGTATCCCACAAAGAGTCAAATATATAGGCCCTTCCATCCCAAGGATAGATTATAAATGCAATCTAGTGGCCCATGATGCCCTAGCTGCACCATTCACACAATATAGATTAGAAATGTTCAAATATGAGATGTCATGATCCTAGTACTATCGGTGTTTGATGACCGGCAACCCATCACAGGGTACCCGGGACAGTGTTCGAAGGGCTTCGGCGTACGTAGAACTCGACGGTAAATGAAAAAAGACAAACGATTTATACTGGTTGGGCCCTCTTGTCGAGTAATAGTCTTTACGTCAAGTCAGCGTGTAGCCTTTTGCGTTGGATTGATTGTATGATTGTTCGGGTTACAAGGGGGTGCACCGTACCTCTCTTTATATAGGGGAGAGGGTAAGGGCATGTATCTAGTCCTAGTCAGTTATAAGAGGAGTTCTAGTCCTATTACATAATCTAGCTTTCATAGTAAGCCGACTAAATTGCTCCGGAATAGCTTGAAGTCTACGCCACCTTGTCTCACGTACTTCAATAGATCATGGGCCCTCTCAGGGCCCATCCAAGCAGTACCCCTATGGGGAACCCCTAGGACCCTGGTCCGTCAAGGCCCTGAGCATGTCATGGTTGAACTTGGAAGCCTTCTTGTTCCTACTGATCTTGCTGAGTAGAAACAAGCGTAGTTCGAGTGCTTTTGTGAGTGAAGCCATGAGGTGCTCTGTAAAGCCTCCGGGTGATGTGCACTTTTTTTTAGAAAAGTGCACTCACTGAGTGTAGCCCTGAGCCTCTTGCTGTTTGCAAAACAAAGTGTTAGAGGGTCTAAAAAAACATCCATAGAGGATATGTACCCTGTAGCCCCCAAGCCTATGTTCGAGTACTCGAACTTGAGATAGGGATATGAAAAGAATATACTCGAAGATGAGAGTGTCAGCAAAAATTATTGCCTTGTCTGCTTGTACAAAAGCAGGTAAGACATATCAAAGTCATATGCAAAGCTTTAGTACAGTTGGTCCAAAGATGCTCAGGATATTCGGGGAAATATGCCATCAAAGGTGCTACCGGGTGTACTGTGACTTCACATGTGCTAGAAAAAGGCTGTCTATACACTGAAAAGGTGTAGTGGGATGCATTGTACCCTTGTAGTGTAGCACGTGAACTTGTGTAGGGGTCAGTAGCTTGTCCGTGTATTCCACGTGAACTTAGTCCATGGACAACACCAAGACGCCTATAAAAACCCTCCTGGCGAGCACTTGAACCTCAGTTGTAGAAGAATCAAAGTAGTTCAGAGGTGGAAGCCTGCAAATATGGTGGTGAGCGAAGTAGACCAGCCCCCGGGAGTACTCAGTTGGTATAACCAAGAGCTGTAGTGACTAGAACTCTTGTGAGAGGGTTTAGAGGTAAGCTAAACCCGCATTTGTGCATAGTAGAGTAGTCTAGAGCTACAACTAGAAGATGTCTTGTGATGGTTGGTAGTGTGGCACATCCAGCAGTCCCATGTCAGTTCTTCTAGGGTGCCTGTCGATGTCTATCCATGAAGGGTCGTTCCTGGACCCAAATGTGTACAGATGGCGTCAGCTGGGTGGCAAGATGTGCGAGTAGCTCATCCTTTAGACCAGCCAGCAGGCTTACTCTTGCAGTAGCTATACTCCCAGGGGTA